AAAATGCCTGGCTTTCAATGAAATTCACATCTGTCCTGTGGCGCAAGGGCGCTCGTGGCAATGTGGCGCAGTGGCGGTTCAGATGAGGATGAAACTGCCGTCAACTTTAGCCTAAATGAGGATACCTTTTAGGAAGCAAAGCTATGCCGACAGGGTCGTGGAGTCTGATGGAAGAAACTGTTTCGAACATTCAATCAGAGGGTCAGTTTCACCAACAGAGTGCTAGTGGCTCCTGTCTTGAGACGAGATTCGGTCCTGGTGACGGCCAACGAAGCCGTCAAGTGGAACACAACCTGGCAGGAGAGACAGTTTGGACTGGCACAACTCAAGTTGAGCACAAAGTGATCCATTGCATGGGCAACCGATCGTACGAAATAAGTCGTATAGTTCCGAAGAGATGTGCCGATCAGAAGAGGAGTTTCACCCAAGGTAAGTGATGTCTTACTGAGGGCCGCTAACCAGTTACAGGGCTGGCCAAGAGCAATGTAAAGACGTAAAAACAACGGGGTAACGGGAAGCTCCAGGAGTCTGAGACGTATATTTCCTCAAAAGTAAAAAGGTTAAATTAAAATATAGAGAATTGCGTAGGCCTCTAAAGTACAAGAGCTTGAATAAAGTCACTTGAGGTAATGAAACACTGATGGATGAATTTTTCCCACAATGACACAAATAGGCCTCATATTTCCATTAAATTTCATATAGTCTTACTTCAAAATAGGCATTCTCATACAGGCTGAATTAAATTGCAGATTCAACCTAACCCAGATGGGAATCGAATCAGGGTAGCTTCTAATTCTACTCACTCGGAACATAAGTAGTGTAGTGAGGTGTCATAAAGAAGACAACTTTGCTGCATCAAAGCTCGTGCAAAAAAGTTTATGTATGGAAACCTTGTTGTGAATAACTTAATTTCGTACGAAAGTGTATGAAGAATAGATTCGAAGGTCGATCTCACCAAAATATTACGGCCGATTCTCATTGTACTGCCGCAACGTTTTGTTTTAATACTAACTTGAGGTTGACGCAGTCCACGAGGCATCCTACCTCGTTTCGGTCGAAAAATGGCTGAGCTTTCGTCCATCATTTGATGGAAAAAACATCTGAGCTAATAACCATTCCTGCAAAATTACCAAGTCAAGACTATGAGATGTATTCACCCTATATCGTCTAAGGTGGTGAAAGAATGGTAGTAGGATTTAAC